AAAAATGTATTTTAAATAATTTTTAGATTTAAACGGCAATAACTTGTTTAATTAAAATGGAACACCCTGTATATTTTATGACAATCAGATGCACAATTTAATTATCTATCAAATTGTATTACACCAATTAAAGTCACAAAAGTAGACATTATTTAAAATTGTGGTGTGTGGTATTATAAATCTAAAAATTTATAGTGTCAACTTTAGTAGTTAACTAGGTAAATAATTAAATAAATGCTAATCAGACTCCAACAAATTATGAATATTTAGCCTATAGATTTAAAAACAGATATAATGTTTATTTTCAGAATTAATTGACAACAAAAGGGAATGGAACATAAAAATACAATTTAAAGAAAAAAATTGTCTATTTAATAAATTCATTAATGTTGTAAAAACAGTTTTCATGTAAAATAGTTTTAACTTATTTATAAAGATTTTTGAAATGCTACAGTTTTTATGTTTACTGGAAGACCCTAAAGCTTCATTCACAACCTCGAAATTAGTGAAATAAATTAGTGGATTCAATTAGCGTAGAACATTGTTCCTCTAATTTTGTAACTATGTAACTATTCAAAACGTCAAAATTAGTTCCAATTAGTACAAAAAGTTAACAAACACAAAAAGTAAAAAAAAATTAAGGTGGGCCACCCTTATCACTTAGGGGTATAAAAAATAGATATCAACTTATTCTGAGACTTACTGAATATACATATAAAATTTCCAGAGTATGGTAACAAATTAAAAAAAAACAACCCCTATTAGATAATAGCTGTTGATGGTAGAAGGGCGAAAGTTTAGGGTTGCATGTATTTTTTAATGTCACATCATTAAAAAATAAAAATAAAAATTTTTGCCCAAAAAATAAAAAAAATGGGGTGGGCTACACTTATCACCAAAAGGTATAAAAAATAGATAACAACCTATTCTCAGACCTACTAAATATACATACATATAAAATTTCATCAAAATCGTTCAAGCCTTTCAGAGGAGTAACAAAAATTTTTAAAAAAAACTCTTTTAAAAAAATAGGGGTTGATAGTAGAAAGGTTAAAATTTAGAGTTGCATGTATTTTTTAAATCCAAATCATAAAAAAATAAAAATAAAAAAACTTGGGGTGACCCATCCTTATCACTTAGGGGTATAAAAATTGATAACCCATTATCAGACCTACTGAATATACAACATATAAAATTTCATTAAAATCAGTCAATCCGTTTCGAAGGAGTATGGTAACTAAAACAGTGACATGAGAATTTTATACAGGGTGGCCCATCGAAAACGTTCCGCAAGGCATAACGGCCAGGGTATGTTTTTTTCCAAAAAATCCAAAAACACGTCAATTTTGTTTGTGAGGGGGACAACTTTTGCCCCAAAAATGATTGCAAAATCTTCAACCCTCTAAGCGGGGGTGTCATCCCCCAACTTTTTTCAAATGGGATGGGGGGTCAAGTGGTACCGCAATGAAAAGGGCTTTCTATTCTCTATACTTTCCCGCTTCGTTTTTGAAAATCGGTCATGTCATTGAGAAAATATGACGGATTGAAATTTGAAAAGTTTATTTAAATATTTATCAGAGTTAATGATATGGATAAATTCCTTCCACCAATTTGAGGTTTTTTCTTATTATTTCTAGATGCTTACGCATTTTTTCACTTACCACAAGGTTGAACGATCAGGTGCGGTAATTGCTAGATAGCTGATCTGTGACTTATGCGTTGAAGTTCTTTTCAATATCGTTAAACTTTTTAACAATTTTGGTGTACTCACTTGCAGAAAAAGTAGAAATAATCGACATTTATTTTAAAAATAATGAACGTGGCAACAGGGTTGCGCAGATATTCAATGAACGCCATCCTGACAAACACCTTTATGGCAAAATTGTTCGCGAGTTACTAGGAAAATTTCGCGAAACTGGTTCCGTTATGAATAAAAAGAGGCAGAAGGAAAATCCTGTAGTAAATGAAGCTATGGAGGTATTTGTATTGGGTCAAGTTGCCATGGATAGTACGCTGAGTACAAGAAAATTAGCCAATGAGACCGGCGTGAATCGTACAAGTGTCGAAAGGATATAAAAAAAACAAGTTACACCTGTACAACATTCAGTTGGTACAAGAACTCAACGAAGACGATTTTGATCGTCGCTTGCAATTTTGTGAAACTATGAGTGAACGAATAGCGGATGATAATAATTTCCTATTTAATGTGTGCTTTTTGGATGAGTGTACTTTCTTTTTGAACGGTGTAGTTAATCGGCACAACTGTCGGTACTGGGCTGAGGACAACCCCAGGGGTTTTCACGAGGTGCACACCCAAAACCCTCAGAAATTGAACGTGTGGGCTGGTATTGTTCGAAATTCTATTGTGGGTCAGTTTAACAATATTGAAAAGAACTCCAACGTACAAGTCACAGAACAGCTATCTAGCAACTACCGCACCTGATCGTTCAACCTTGTGGCAAGTAAAAAAATGCGTAAACATCTAGAAATAATAGGAAAAAACCTCAAATTGGTGTAAGGAATTTATCCTTATCGTTTACTCTGATAAATGTTTAAATAAACTTTTTAAATTTCAATCCTTCATATTTTCTCAATGACTCGATCGATTTTCAAAAACGAGGCGGGGAAATATAGAGAATAGAAAGCTCTTTTCATTGCGGCGCCACTTGACCCCCCTTCCCATTTGAAAAAAGTTGGGGGATGACACCCCCGCTTAGAGGGTTGAAGATTTTGCAATCATTTTTGGGGCAATAGTTGTCCCCCTCACAAACAAAATTTATGTGTTTTTTGGATTTTTTGGGAAAAAAATACCCTGGCCGTTATGCCTTGCGGAACGTTTTCGATGGGCCACCCTGTATATTAGATTACAAGAAAATTTCAAAATTTCTAGACAATACCTAGAAACATTGTTGGTTGGAGAATTATCGAACATCATACAATATGTATCCCTAGCAATAAAACTTTCTGATTTAATGCAACGCGTAGTGGCATTGTGTGGCATTTGAAATGTGCATTCACATACAATAGTTAAATTTTAATTGAACATTATGCAATTACTGCTTTCGATGGCTTTTCGTCAATGCTGTTTACGTTCAATTAAAAATTGTATGCACAAATAACACCACTTTGATACTTTGACATTGTTGCAGTATACGTTGTTAAAAAAGGTTCAGTACGTAGGCCAGTAATTGCCATCAATTTACTTGTTCAAAACAAATTGTAACATTTTAAAAATTTTAAATGAAAAAAGTGAAAATGCATATTTCCCAGTTTCCAGTTTATACAGGTTTGTTTACCACATACGACACGGAGTATTGTAGCTAAACGATTAGATTTTTACGAATTACAAGTTTTGGGTTCGTTAAAGGACTATTAGAGCTACAATTCAAAAATATTTTTACTAGATACAGAGTGTCCCAAATAAGTAAAAAATATTATAGTTGTATTTATTTAAATAGAATACCCTGAATATTTTTCTATTTTTAGATTCTACGATTAAAATAAGGGTAAATTCGATTAAGTAGAAACTACACTTAAAGTACACTTAAACCTTATCGTTTTTGAAATATTTTCAATTTTGTGAAATAGCAGTAAACATTTTAAGGCTTAATTTCTCCAAGGGTATCAAAGTTTTTAATACTAAATATTGACTGAAGATTATTTATTGATCAGGTATCGTATTGCAATAATAAAAATAATACTACCTTATACAGAGTGTATAAAAATGTATATTAAATAATTACTAGCTTTAAACGGCTATATCTTGTTTAATTTAAATAGAACACCCTATATATTTTACGAGAATCAGATGTACAATTTAATTGTCTATCTAACTGTATTACATTATTTTTTACCTATCTAATTTAGACCTTATTTAGCAATATACCCATGGAATATTGACATTTTAGATTAGACTGCAAACCCATTTGTTTACAAAAAGAAAATTAATATATCTTCATAAAAGAGTATACCAATTAAATATACCATCATTATTTCCGCCCAAAAATTAGTTCATTACATACTTAATTGTTTTAGTTAATAAATTATTCTAAATAAATGTGGATTTGAATCAGAAATAAATATAATAATAGGTTATGAAAATGAACGTCTCTGCTATTATAAAAATGAAACATCATTTATAAGGTGTTACTTTTTACCAGACTGAGTATTTGGAGCAATAATTATTATTCAACGCAAACAGCCAATTAATGTAATTTGAATATTGGGATCATATTGATTGGTCCTCTTTATCAAATATTTGAACAGCCTTTTTAATTTTTTAATGAAATAAGCGAATTATATCGACAATATTCGTACTGTGAAAATTTATTACATCTTTAAAAATAATCTAAAATGTCAATATTCCATGGGTATATTGATAAACGGGGTCCAAATTATAAGAAAATGTAATTATAAGAAAATGTATTTTCTACGAAAATTTCAAGAGATAGGTAAAAAATGGTATAACACAATTTGATAGATAAATGAATCGTGCATCTGATTCTGGTAAAATATACAGGGTGTTCTATTTAAATTAAAGAATTTGTAGTACTTGCCGTTTAAAGCAAGTAATTATTTAAAATAGAAAAACTTCAGTACAAGTACTTTATTTTAAAAACTTAAATACGCCTAGAAATGAAGCATTAAAATCGTTACTTTGAATGTGGTAGAGACCGATTCAATTTGTAAAAATCTAACCGTTTAGCTAAAATACTCCGTGTCATATGTGGTGAACAACCCTGTATACTAATATAACAAACTCCGTTTTTTATCGTAAAAAATAAAAAAGTTATAGGGCTGAACCACTCTTGACATACCCTCAGTATATAAAACAGTACACACAAAAAAAATAATAAACCGATCTCAAACACAGAATCACTATTCCATCAGCGCTTTTTCTTCCGCAATAACAAAAGAATCTAAAAAAAAGCGGGAAAAAATCGTATTCCTGCATAAGGCATGACGCGACTCGCGCCCGAAAAGGACCCAATAAAACTTACCCCCCAGCAGGAACAGGCCGCAGGCGATAATGGCTTTATTGTCGCTGTTACAGTGGCCCAGGAGGCCGAAGAAGGCGGCGAGGACCAGCAGGATTATGGCCGCGCTGCAGAGCACCGTGCATGACCTGAAACCAAAAGGTCGCCGGATGAGTTTCACGGTGAAAGAAGAGAAAAAAAGGGCTGATTTAGGGAAAGTCGTAAAAGTATTTGAGGTGGGAAGTTGGGGATTAATATTTTCGGTTTGGTTGAGGTAAGGAAAGGATTTGATTCAGAGAGTTAAATTCAAAAGAGTTTCTTGGTTTAGTTTGGAACTTTAAAAATTTAAATTTAAAATAAATTTGAGCATATTTTTATTTTGCACGACAGTCACTTTTCTTCGCCAAGATTTCGGTCTTGGATAGGCTATACAGGGTGGTCGGAACTGTATTTCGAAACCTTCGACAGCATATTCTGCAGATAAAAATAAGTAAAAAAGTTTGTATAAATGTTTGTCCTGAAATGCTTTGTTTCGGAGATACAGGGTATAACTCGGAAATATGTGTGGTTTGTTTCAGATACATTGTGTGTATTTCCATTTTTGCTTAGAATTGAAGGAAGAATTGAAATATGCAGTAATATACAAGGGGGTTCTATTTAAAAAAATTAAACTTTGATGTGCCACGACTTTATGACCGACCCTGTATACATAAATTTATTACTCGCCAATACACATTTAGAAAACCTATCATTTTTGTATTTAACTTTTTGCGGTACCTTGTATATTTTACCTAATAATCGATCGTTTCCATACATAACAGCAACCCTGTATAGTCTGTCCAACGAGAAGATCCTTGACAGTGATAGATGTGTCTGTCATTTTAATTTCAAAGTAGTTTATTTTATTTTACAAAGAAATAAGTTGGTACAACTGGAACGCATAGCAGGATATATTTAAAATTTGATTGACAAGATGACAAGTGATTACTTCAAAATATTGTGAAAAAAACTGCATAAAACTGAAAAAATGTAATCGAGTTATTTTATTTAATAAAAACGGTATGTGTTAATACAAAACAAACAAGAACAAGACACTACATACCAAAAAAATATAAAAAAGAACTATTATTTACTTTCAAGCTTTATGAAACTACCCGCATTTATGCTTATATATTTATCAATATAACTTATGTACAAATACAAATTTGTAATATTCCACAGGAATAAATAAAACAACATAGGTAAATAAAACAAACTATTTTATTAATAATAACACCTACCAAATTTTATACCTTAAAGGTTGATTTATTAACTTTAATCTTAATTTTTTTAAACCAGTACCTTTTGGCATTATTTTTCTGCAGTACTAAAATCCATTATCTACCTACCGTGTGATGTCGATATTTTACAGCTACTCTAGTTTTTAGTATGTGTTTAGTTTGATCCTTCTACCATATACGAGATGCACTTATCTACGACGAAATGGTATACAAACTTTATCGATGGCAACTTCATTGGTGTATAAGACTTTCTGCCTGGGCGCGAGTATTAACCATAAACTGTGCTCTGGGTCTACAGTTAATTTTCACTGATTTTTCTTGATTTCAAAAGACACAAAAACACACGTAATAATACGAATCAAAATGCATCATCTTCCAAAACGCAGGGTATTTAACAAAAGTTGACACAAAATTATAACCTATAATTTGGCAAGACTTTGACAAGCGTCAAAAATGACAAAAATCTAAAGGCGAGTTCATACGCATCGGCGTCCGTTTGTCGTTTATCGTTCCGCCAAACCAATAAAATTGAAATACGATCTGTCATTTTTTAAATAAACCAATAAAACTGGTTAAAAACAACAAGACACGACGCATGACGGATTTATATTTAAACCCCATCCATAGATAACTTAAAAATTATTAGAAACTTTTTTTAGTAAAATAAATAGATTGGTATGGGACGTCATCTGCTTTTCTTCTGTCATCGTCTGTCGAAATCTTACCTGAGAAAAAAAACAGAGTATATAATTTATACAGGGCGTTTTAAAAAACATGTGCCATCTCTCGTGGGGAGATTGCTCATGTAAAAATAAGATTTATTTTTCATATCAACATAGGTCCGATTCTGGTTTGTTTCGTAGCTACAGGGTGTTAAAATCTTAACAGTCTTTCGATTTATTATAATTTTAATCCAAGTAGTTTTAGTGATTTGAATGAAATTTTGAGGGTAATAGTTACTATAAGTGCTACATATTTTAATCCTAAAAATGTGTTGATAAATTCAGGGACGTGCATATGGGTTATCACTGGAATATTTTTCAAAAAAACATGTGCGCCACTGACTTTTTTCTTTTCATATCAAAATTGTGTAGACCATTTAATACCAATTAAAAGTTATCTCTTGATATTTTGTCAAAATGGGCCTTCTTGATGAGATAAACGGAATTTTATTAATCGCAATTAATAAAATTAATATAAAAATAAAATTAATAAATTATATATTTTGCCTAATTTATTATTAAATATTATTACTATTAGTTATTATTACTGTTAGGCCAACCTACAGCAATTTCAAATGAAAAAATAAAGATATTAAAGTTAATTACAAAAAAACTAATTTTAAAAAGTTTTACCATCCTGTAACTCTAAAAGTATTCATTTTTATACCCATGTTTATAGGAACTTTTTATAATATTTAAAAATAAATTTCCGAGGAACTTTCGCAATTTTAGATAATATAAACGCCACGAATGTTTGGGAGTGATTCATCGCTTGATGAAATGAGAATCGACACGCGCGCTATCATTTTTACATTAAAAACGTATTTTTTTACCGCAGACGTAGGTTTTTAAAAGCCCGGTCTAATCATCTGCCTGCGCTCCTCCTACTTATTCTAAAATGTTAGCGTGATTGACAAAGACGATACCATATCGCATTTCTTTGATTGATTCGTTTTTGTGCGTCAGTCCATTGGTGTGCTTGCAGTGCGACCAATGGGGCATTTCAGTTTATATTTATAACCAAATATATGTTTTGACAAGACTTTGACAGTTAAAACAACAAATTACAACAGATTATATATTGATTATTATATGACTTGAAACACCACGACACTGGAATTAAGTTTTATGTGACCTTGAGCAGATTAGTTCACATGGTAGCGACCGATGAATCATTGCTCTCAAACATTCGTAGAGTTTACTATAGCAAGTTGATGATATTAAAATTTTTTAAAGGTTTCTATTAGACTTGGATCAAGGCAAATTAATAAAATTGCGTTTATCTCATCAAGGAGGCCGAAATCGACAAAATATCAAGAAACAACTTTTAATCGGCATTAAACTGCTTACACTATTTCTCTGAGAGAAAGAAAGTCAGTAGTGTACATGCTTTTTTTAGAAAAATATTCCAGTGATAACCCATATGCACGTCCCTGGTGAATATGTTGACACTTTTTTAGCTTTAAAATATGTCGCATTTATAGAAAAACTTTTATTCTCACAATTTCATTCGAAACGCTAAAAGTACTTGAAAGAAAATTATAATAAATCGAAAACATATTAAGATTTTAACACCCTGTAGCTACGAAACAAAGCAGAATCGGACCTATGTTGATATGAAAAATAAATCTTATTTTTACGTGAGGAATCTTCCCACGAGAGATGGCACATGTTTTTTGAAACACCCTGTATATTAAAAACACTATTTACTTCATAAAAAATACATAATATCAAAAAATGTTAAACGCACACCATTTAATTCTAAAATAAAATTCTCCACACTAAATGGCATTAAAACCCGGGTTTACTTTAAAAAAGGAAAAAGTATCATTCAAATAGGATTTTCCCAGGGGATGGCGAAAAGCACCGGGGTTGCTTCCCAATTGCCTCTTTGCGTGATTACAGACTATGAAAGTAAGGTATTTTCTTACGATTCCTGAAATAAAACGGACCAAAGGGAAAAAAGGTTATTTGCCAATACGGAAAAGAGGGAAAAAGCGGAAAGTCATGATATTTATGACTGTTTTTTACGAACAGGCCAATTTTACGTTTTATAGTTGATGATTTTTTGTTTATGGGCTTCTAAAAAAAGATTAAATTGAATTAAAATGATAAAAACGATAATGCAATTTTTTTCTGCTATATTTGACGTACATGTTCGAAATTTAAATTTATTTTTATTGCTTTTTATTTTAAATCAAAATAATTTAAAGAAAAAAATATTTTACAAAAATGTATGTGGATATGACGAACATACATAGAGAGAGAGAGAAACGAATCAGTCATTTTAGGGTACAAATAATTTAATGTTATGTTCTCTTTAGAAACAATAGTTAGTCAATAAAGAAATAAGCATAAGTATAGCACATTTCTGATATGAGTAAGTTATATTATACAGGGCGAGTCTTAAATAAGTGCAAATATGGTAGATCTCTATAAAAAAAAATATTTTTTTTGCTATTTTTTTTTAACAAGTCCCAAATAGCAGTGTTATTTTACTTAAGAATTTTATATAATAGTATATTGTTTTATTAAAAGTAAAAATGACACTGTTTGTGGCGAGGCTGTACGTTTGACATTACAGAGCCACAAAAAGTCATTTTTACTCGGAATAGAACAAGTTATTTTTTTTTTTTTTCAAACGCCACAAATAAGTTTTTAAACAATTTCAAACGTTCCAAATAATATAAAAAGTGTTAAAAGTCATACCAAAGAATATACCTAGCTAGAAAAAGAATGGACTCTGCCATACTGAAAAATGGTCCTACAGAAGTGGCGCCATCTATTGAGTAGAGCTTGTTTTAAATGGATCGAAGCGCGGGCTTTTTAAATGAGCGTATTTATTGAATTTTACTCTAAAATAATTAAATTTGATTATTAAATCTTATTTTTTACACAAATTCAACAATACTAATAACAAGTATCGTTGTTATGTGTAAAAAATAAGATTTAACAGTATAATTTATACAATTATTAAATAAAATTAAAGCCAAACATGTGAAATATTATTTATTATTTAAAGTTTTTATTTATAAGTCAAATATTTAAACATCATTTATTATAATCAAACAAGACCAACGTAATACGCCCAAAGTTTTGTAAATGGAGTAAATATAAATAGGTACTTAAATGATGGCAAAAATAAAA